TCTGTAAAAGTAATGTTGTTTGATATATTATTATCTAATTGTTGATGTTACCTCATTTAAATTATGAACGCGCACATATAATACCAATTTATATGTAATACCAATAATACCACAACTCGCACACCAAACAACTGGCCTTTACAACATATCTGAACAATACCTCTCATTCCAGTTTCTATCTGCAATTTAACAATGTTACATTATGATATATAGATCTCGATGTACGTGAATAGCACCAGTTTAGCAATAATGCAACATTTAGAATATAAATTATCTTTTAGGGAAGCCTGTTTGGAAACAAAAGTTGATTAAAAAAGCCCTTTAATTTCAAAAAATTTCAATCATATTTGAATGATCTAATAAACATTGATTAGTCTACAAATGCACATTACAAAATGTGGTTAGCAGGTTGTGAATACGTTGTGTAGTTAGCGGTTTTACTTGTTTTACTTGTTTTACTTTTCGATTTAAATGAAATCCTTTTTCTAATTGCAAATGTGTAGTATCGGCAGTCGTAGCAATACACATAACAATATGTTTGTCTATTACTGATCTGCGTGATGATGAAACTGAAATTTGTTGATATTTAATCATACCTTTTTAACACATTCACAATCAATTGACATTATAGCCAAAATATCACCACAATAACGTCCATCAATGTCATCCGCTACTTTGGGCTGGATCTAGACAAGCGACGGACCTGAAAATATGATGTATTTATACGACTTAAAAGGGCAGAACTGACCAGATCATACTGATTACTTGTATAGAACTTGGGTTCAACCAAACTTTCCATTCAACGCAGAATTCAGACGCATAAATCACGATCCATTGTCAACTCAGCGTTCTATGTTTGTTACCAACATAAAGACCTAAATTTTCTATTTACAGTAGAAACTGCATACACTAACCTCCAATCCCACCCTAATCCACACTCACACCAACTTTCTACCCCGAGCTTTTTCCAATAATCCTCTCCGACGACTTAAAAGACAGTGACCCCCTTGAACTACTCTCAGATATTTAATGTGTTTATGATTAATCGGCGAATTAAGATAGCTTCTCCACTAAATTTAATGTGTGGTGATTAGTGACCGTTAATCGGTATTTATTTAAAAATCGTGAGATGCGGTCTGGTGTGATGTAGGTTTCAGAAAAACATTTTCTTTATCGTGCCAACGTTTCGTTCTTTATTGAGATCATCTTCAGGGCTCAAAGTGTTTGTCTTCTGTGTAATTGTGCCATTCTTGCGTGTCGTGTCGAGAGTGCCCACGTGGGAAAATGTTTTTCTGAAGCCTACATCACACCAGACCGCATCTCACGATTTCTAAATAACTAAATTTAATGTTATTTTATTTGTGTACGATCTATGTAATTTATTGCCGTCCCAGATTGTTGCTTAATAAAAACTGAAGGAAGCATATCCATCAAACTGTTTTATTGCATATTAACACTTCGGATAAATTTTTTATTTGGCAATAAATTTTTAACAGTCTATTTGTTATAGTCTAATGCTTAAATTAATAAATTTTTTATTCAATTTTATGGCACAATTAATTAAAGTTCCAAAGGTTTTATAACTACAATTAATGCATAAAAAAATTAAAACCACGAAAATTCAAGATATTGATTTATGGTTGTACATCAAGACGATTTTATTTGAACGGAACTGAAATATTTCGTTGAACGTAGTTATAAAGCCTTTACTTCTATATGAGGACGAATATAAAAAGAGTAATAACATAAAGCAAGTGTCTGCGAGAGCAAGGGTGCAGAGAATAACCGCAATTTATCCTGGAGTTACTGTATTGCCAACGCCATTTTTCACAGTTGATGATGTTCACCAATAAACTTTAAGTTTAGGTTATTGTTCGCTCACTATGGAAATGTTCATGGTCATCAACTATGACTATTAGAAATTGGTCATTAATGACATAAAGTGAATGAATGTTTTTCATTGAAATACAGGTTTAAAACCTCGTATTTTTATTACGAAAATATGCGCTTTCAATTTCGTAATAAAAATGTCAAAACATTTGACGCCGCTAAAAAATAAAATAATAAATACATTTATGGTACTTGTACTTACACCGAAGATTTGGTTAATAGTAATAAAACCTTTAAAAATAACTTATATTTTAGTTTTTAAATGAGTTTTTTAGGGGCGTCGGTGGCCGCAACGGTTTAGGCGTTGACACGACGTGTAAGGAAAGGACTCGGGTTCGAATCCAGCGGCCCTCCATTCGAACCCGTCATACTTAAAATGGGCTTTTTTTCAAAAACACCGGCACCCCGAGGGTTTATATAACCTCTGCTGTTGCGAACCCTCGTAAATAAAATTTAAAAAAGTTATTATACGGGGGAGGGGATATTATTATAGGGTAAATTTTGCACTCTCTTTTCTTCACGATGTTGTTCTAGTGACAAAGTTGGATTTAAAGTTATACCCAAGTATTTATTATATTTATTATTTGTTATTAACTACTTCTACTAATTCTTTTTTGATGTTAGCAATATATCTTATATTGTTTCTAAAATAATCTTCAGCATCCTTAAAAAAATCATTAATAATGTAAAAATATTAATGTTTTAGCAAAATTGTGCGATGCTTCTTGAAAATACAGATATATGTTATAACTGGCCTTAGACTTTTTACCTAATTAACTATTTTTTGCCTAATTTTTATCTCAAATACGTCCGCTACGAAAAAGAACGGGTATAATTTCTTCCTTGGCCTTATAGTTGTAGATTAATAATAATTGTAATTAAAATTAAGATCATTAGAATGGACTTTTTCCAATATTAGCCAAATTGTGGAAAGATACTGAGAAATAATGTTCTAATCTGAAAGAAAATTAAACTTCTCACAACTCCTTTTTTTTTTTTTTTTTTTTTTTTGGAACTTACAGTCAGGTCAAATTTCTGAAACCTAAAGGTCAAATGTTGGTATTGTGGAGATCTTGCACATCGAAGTCAGAACTACTAATAAGCTACGGGATATCTGAACTTAGCAGGGATTATTTCGAGTGTTTCGGGTACTTTAAGGAAAAATATGTCTTATACACTTCTATATTTCGAACTTAGCTTTACACTTCGTACTGTGCTATGGATATCATGTATTATTTATAAAAACATACATTTGACAAAAATTGAGAAGCTTGGAAGTACGGTTAATACATGCTTCAAAAATCACAACTTCCAACCATCAATTAACAATAATTGATAAAAACAACAGGATAAATATAATTCTTCTCAAATATGCCCTTTTAAATGAGGCGTGAGGGGCGTCGGTGGCCCCAACGGTTTAGGCGTTGACACGGCGCTCATCACTTTAAGGCAAAGGTCCCGGGTTCGAATCCAGCGGCCCTGAATTCGAACCCGACATACTTACAAATGTTTTTCTTTTAAATACCGGCACCATGAGGGTTGATATAACCTCTGCTGTTGCGTACCCTCGTAAATAAAATTTAAAAAAATTAAAAAATGAGTTTTGTCGTCCTTGTGTTGTGTGTTTGATTTTTCAATTATGTTTGAAGCTCCATGTCTTGTTCTATGCATTTATCAAATGGTTTATCAGATCTCTATCTCTTTTAATATTCGAGTTTTGTTCTGTGTTAATTGATTTGATGTTGTGGTTGAGTTCTTTTGGTAGTATTTCTTTTTCGTATTTTTTGATATGTGAGATTTTTCATTTTGTGATTCATTGTATTTTCTTTTTTAGCGTTGTATTGTTCTTCTTGGGTCTTTCTGTGTCTTATATAATACGTATATAATTATGTTTCTGATGTTGGTGGAAGTATATTATTACCTAGTGTCAGTCAAGTGGTTATTTAGTTACTTTTTTTATGTAAACGGTGATAATTTACGTTTTAATCCGTTTTAGTTAAAGTTAGTTGAGCATTTTGTTACCGATAGTTTTGTAAATTTTGTCTGTATTTTGAACATACGTTAATATAAATAAATAACGGTTTTAATAATGACTAATTGAAAATTTACTTTTTAATATTAGATTTTTTGTATTTATATATTGACATTGGCATTAAGCGGCCCATAGACGATCAATATTATTGCACAATATTTTGGGTTGTGCAATTTAATTGATCGTGTGTAGACGATATTGAAAGTTTGTGCAATACATTGCATGATTGACGAAAAGTTGAAAATATATTGTACAACCTGGAAAATATTGCACTGTCTGTGGGCATTATTGCGCAATATCAGTTAGTTTGTGAAGTATCAACAAGTGAAAAATATTGCACAAACTTCAATATTGCCTTGAAACTATTCAAGTTCATTGCACAAACAAAATTTTGTACAATATTATTGAACGTTAAGGGGCAACCGTCAAATTATTGTGCAATCTATATTGTACAATAATATTGACCGTCTATGGGCCCTATAGATTGGTAAAATTGTCGGTTTTTTGTGCATAGCATATTATAAATAAATATTTTAATAATGAATAATTAAAAATTTATATTTATATATTAGCTTTGTATTTTCTCTTGCGTAAAAACCTCTAAAAATCTTTGTGTTAAAAAGTAAACACTGCGTGTTTTTGTTTCTTTCTTTATCGTTACAATATTGATATACTCACAGAATAAAGATGCAAACATTTTGCAAAGTGAATTTCTAGAGAAAGATCAAAAGTACAAAAAGAATAGAAGAAGAAAAATAGACGACTCATCTCCTTTTAGACTTATCATTCGAACTACAAAGCTACGAATATTTTCATTACAGTCCCACGTATAAATAAACAATAAGCATGTGTTTTACTTTTTATTACAGAAGACAATGTTTTTGAGTCAATGTTAATTGCAAAATTTGTACTTGGCCCAATATCCCTCGGTGTTTTATACTTTTTGTACTGAACTGTAAGGATCGTTATAATTTCTATTAGTAAAAGAATTATATTTTTATATTTTTTTATAAATATTATTTACATCGGCAAAAGCTAAGGTTTTTGTCTTGTTTCCAATGCTGACTTATAAAAGAAAGTTAACAGCTGTTTTAGTGTTCAAATTTGTATTAACGCTTAGTTAAAACCCAATAGAATATTAGAATAGGAAGTAATTCTTTTAGTTAGTTTTTTATATTTTTATGTAGGTTAACTCGAGAACGTTACACGTATCAATTGTGAAATGAACAAGTGCTCGTTGTAACGGGAGAAAAAGGAATTTGTTTTGAAGCAGACTTAAATCATTACGGACTGAAAGAACGCCTTAGAATATCCGGCCTCTGTGAAACGATTTCCATTTCGAAATGATGCTCAAATATGACAAAGGTAAGTGTTTTCATGTCCCTTCCTCAGGACGTATTAAACATTCACACAGTTCGATCCTCTTTGCGTAGTGAACGAGGAAGAATTTCATCAAATCACCGTGAAGTACATTCCGCCCAGACCAGAACTTGTCTCGGTCGTAAGTAGATTTGAAACACAAACGTTATTTATCATATGATGTATAAATATTTAAAACTCAATAATACTCTAATAACTGTATTTTCTTTTGTGAAATATTAAGAATGTAATGATTCTGTTGAAAGTATAACTAAATATGTACATTTAGGAATCTACAACTTATATTACATATTACACGTATATTGCATGACAAACAAGTGTTTAATTTAAACATGACCATACTCAATAAATTGCTACTTAGAATGTAGTCAAATTAAGGGTGCAATGTTCTGGCCAAAATGCAAAAATTTAGCACTGATGATGAAGTTTGACCTTTCCTGTCCCCCTCCCGTGTTTTTGTACGTCAGTTGTGTTTTGGTCAATCAGAGAAAACAGAGAGAAAAAGTGGTTGAAGTGGAGAAGGAAGAAAGAGCGAGGGAAGCGTAAGAGCGAAAGAAATAGAAGCGTAGAGAATGAGTTATGAAATCTTTTCGGAGGATCTACGGAAGAGGTCAAACACAGAAAAAACTTCCATTCGGTTTTCGCCGAGCTTTCGACAGTTTTTATACTGTCATCTTCAGGACTTAAACCTTAATGGGGAAATAAAAGACATGGTGTTTTGGGCACAGAAGTACATTACGTTTTTTGGGGCTCAGCATCTCATAAAATCTAAAAAACTAATAAAATCTTCCTATATACAATTAACTTATCTTACATTTAAATTACTATACAATACGATCACAGATCAAAAACAGAAAAACAAACCCTCTTCGACGAGAGGAACAAAGGCCACCGAGGTCGAAAGCTCGGCGAAAACCGAAAGGAAGTTTTCTCTGTGTTTGACCTGTTCCATAGATCTTGCGAAAAGACTTCATGTTTCCAGCAGGTCGAGAGTGAGTTAGTTAAGTACATAGAATTAGCCTCAAAAGAAAAACGGAATGGCAATCTACAATCTGAAAATGACCAAAATGCAAAGTTATCATTCCGTAATTGTTTTACGTAGGAAATCTCGCATCTTAAGAATTTTCAAACATGACCTGTTACAAAGGAAGAGACTCTTTTTCTATTTAACAGTTGCATTTCATTCGTCAAAATATGACGGAATTGACGGTTTCCTCCTCAGAAATTTTTTTTTCGGATTTAAAGAACATGTTCAGAAGTGGCTAATCAAAGTTCATTAAGTAATGTAATGTTAGCTGAATCACCCGGCCCAGTTTTCATCTGGGTTTTCTTAAAAGCATTCTTATATCGGAGTTTTGAAAACAACTCCTAAACAAGAATGGTTTATATTAAATTTCAGTCGCGTGACCGTATTTCCAAGAGACTGTACCAATTGGACGTTTTCTGTAAAAGGAGAATTACACGTTGCTTCCACGATACCGACATTTTGGCTATCATTTGAGAAAATTGGAAAAGATTATTATCGACTAAAATTTTAACTTGGCCTTAGTCGACATTTCTGAGCGGTCTTTGTAGCTCAGAATAAAATTTTGTTCAAAAAGTTCAAATCTTTGTCCCTCGAAAAATGAAGTCACAAATAGGTATGATTGTTAATAAAATTATAATTAGTAGGGGAAAAGTCTATCTGCTGATAGACCTTTTAATTCCCACCAGCTCAAATTATTTCGTTTGTAATCGCCAAAATAGTATTTTTATAGCCGGCCAATAGGAGATCATTTGCATTTCTTAACCATCATCACTATACTGTATATTTCAACATAGTCCAGTTTTTTATCCGCAGTCAATTATGTTCTAAGAAATGGGTCGTTATATTGATGTGGTAAGAGCAAAACACATAAATTATATTGTATTTCCGTTTGACGACCATCAGACCATTTTTTTCAAAATGTGAAACTAATATACTGCATTTCAGATCAAATGAAAAATGTGTGGATTGATTAAAAAAATATCTTGATGTATAAATCAGAACCAGAATAACTGATTCTTTATAATTGATTTTTATAATGGTAAAATACTGAAGGTAGAAACACTTCAATTAAGTTGAACACATCAAGCCCCCTTTCTCTACATCCGGACGTATATGCGGGATTTGATTCAAAAGTTAGTGTCCGTGTGTCAATTATGGATGTCCTATTCTTAATCGGATGAGCCAGTTACTCCGAAGGCCATTTATCAAAAGAGCTCTTGATATGTGGCTTTTCTGACGAACCGGTCCACAGACGTTGGACGTTTTCTTACAATCGCGTTTTTAATTGCATTTTTTGGGTCGAAGCCCGATCGCGGTGGTCAAGTCCGAAGATTGAGACGTACCTGATAGGGCAATAAAAATCTTATTTATAAACCTAATTATTTATAGTAATTTGACCGAAAAAATTGTGAATTGGCATTTTTTATCGTTTTAAACCATAAGGAGATAAATCATAAACCCTCCTGCAAACACATCATTGACTACGTTGAGAATAATGGGAGGTAACTATAATTAATTCGAAAACAACGATCCAATCTAATATACAATAGTAGTAAATCTTAAAACTCAAGCCAAATTTTGATCAAAGGAAAACTCTAAGTAAAGTAAAATCAGATTTATTTTCAGAACGAGTGACTAATTAAACATTATCGACGATTGAACATTTCAATTGCTACATATTTTGTAAAAAGGATTAACCTGTAGGCAAAGAAAATGGAACAATCTATTGAAATATAATAAATAACTATTTCTTGACCGAGCGATGCAGCAAAGTAGATTACAAAATTGTTTTAGGAAAAACTAAGTTCATGGTATTTTTTTTTGGGGGGGGGGGGGATTGATAATAATATTTTCTCAAATTTTTCGTCTCCAGTACTAAATACGTCGAATTATTTTTCAACAATTAGAAATGGTGATTATTTTAAAACAACACCACTGGGTCACAGGAAAGGTTCCAGGAGTTGAGGGCTATACAGCGTGTTCGGCTACTCGTGTTCCAAACTTTGCCAGTAGATTCTACTTTCAAAATGTAACCAAACCGTCCTAATTTCCTATGGTCCGAATCTCAGCAGTTTTGGAGTTATTTCTCTTATTCTGATTTTTTAAGATTTCACGACCTTGCTTCAAATAAACAATGATAACTTCAAAACTAAAAGGTTTTGGACAACTCCGTTGAGACCATTGAAAAGTCTGAAAAGTTAAATTACCAATAAGATATGATCAATACTAAACTTGTAATTGTCAGTGAAATAAGCGTTTTAGTAGCGAGAACTTAGAAAAATAATTTTGAAAAATGGCAAAAAGGAGGGAAAATTGAAAAGGTGGGGTTGAGAAGGGGAGTTGGTGTCCGAGTGGATCGAGGTCACGATAGCTCAAGTGGTAGAGCAGCGGCGTATCTAGCCAAAGATCGTGGGTTCGAACCCGCTCGTGCCATTGACTTTTTTTATCTCAACTAAAAACCTTAATTAATTGAATCTACAATAGATGTTAATTTTGATAATTCAAAAGGTGGGGTTGAGTTGGGAAGTTAGTGCCCGAGTGGATCGAAGTCACGATAGCTCAAGTGATAGAGTAGCAGCGTATCAAACCGGAAGTCGTGGGTTCGAATCCCGCTCGTGACACTGACTTTTTTATCTCAATTAAAAACCTTAATTAATTGAATCTACAATAGATGTTAATTTTGATAATTCAATTACAACCGTAAACATAAAAATATTATCCGTATAAGGGCCCTCGAATGCTAATTTATCTGTTCGTACTTTCTTTTACGAATTCAGTGGCGACCTCCATTTATTTTAGTTAATGCCTTTTATTTTAAATAAATACTAGTAATGAAAGTCGGATGTATCTATCTCTTCCCAATCCGTCCCACTCTTACATTTCTCCAGTACCTTGTGTCTTATGATTTGTAAAAAAACTTTCCAAAGCCTTTGTCAGCTGCAAAAAATCCAGATTGATCTTCCACCTGAGGTAAAGTTACAAATTATACAATCTATGTTGTTCCCAATCTTTGATTGTGCTTCACTATGCTATTCTAATATAAGTTAAAAAAAATTAGAAAAACTACAAAAAGCACAAAATGCTCGTATAAGATATGTTTATAATATCGAATACTTTGATCATATCACACCATATTATGCCGAAGTAAAAATTTTAAAAATTAAAGAAAGAAGAGCACTAATACTCTCGATGTTCTTAATAAAATTATTAAAAAGATAAAAACCACCAACAAATAACTTTAAATTGTATAAGCCTACCCATGACAAGAATACTAGATATGATAAACAAAAATTTATATTGCCTAAAATCAGAACTGCTATCTACAATGCATCTTTTCAAGTAAAAGCAATCAATAATTATAATAAAAACAACCTGTACAATTTACTACTTCTACCATATGTAAAAGCGAAATCTAAATTAAAAGAAGAGTTCATGACAAGATACAATAATAGATAAAAATGTAAATTCAATATCCTCGTGTTATATATATATTGTGTGTGTGTTATACTACACTACTAAAAAAAAAAAAAACTATACTAGTAGTAATGATTATTACATTAAATTATCATTGTTATATTTAAGCCATAATTAGAAAGACANCTTACTCTCTCTCTCTCTATCTATCTATCTATCTTTCTCTATCTATGTATCTATCTATCTCGATCTCTTTTTCAACCCGTAGTCACTTTTTTTCCCTCCCTCCTTTTCTCTATTCTTTCCTTTTCTATCTCTCTATCTCTGGGCCTTTATATGTCTATCCGTTTTCTTTCACCGTCTATGTCAATCTCTTTAATCTACAATGATTTAGTCAGCACATACAAGAAAACAAATAATTATATATGTATCGGTCTGGCTATCAGAAAGGATATAGTACACAAACAGCGTTAATTAGTATAATGAATGATTTAAGAAAAAATATCGTTTAAATCAACTTAACAATCATAACTTCACTTGATTTTAATCATGCGTTCAATAGTTTGGATATGAAAGTGATATGAAAATCTATGTGTTCAGAAAAGGTAACTGAGTGGTTCAAGTCTTATCAAAATTCAAGGGCGCAATGACCCAAAACGTTTAAAGAGTAGTTTTCTGGATGGTAAACAATAGTAAAAGGAGTGTCACAAGGGTGAACACTATCATTGCTACTATTTATGTACATAAAATATACAATGCACTCAAGTATTATAGCCAGAACACACAGAAGATTTAAATTTATAAATAGCCTCTGGTATTGCAAATCTTCATGCAAATGGACAAAATAAAGTCTGATTTGCAAAGTTTATATAACTGGTGTAAGAAACATGGATTAAAACTAAATCAAAATAAATTCTCAAGTATTACAATAAGACTCTCAATGTTGCTTTCCAGAATACCGAATAATATTAAATATATAAAAATTAATGAAACCTCTTTGAAATGCACAAAAAAATTAAATTCTTAAGATTAACTAATGATGAACTATTTGGTAAAAATTGCATTGTTAGTTAAAAATATATTTGATATTTACATTACTTTAAAAAATTAAAATTTCTCTTGTTTTTAAGCTGTTTCATTATTCTGAAAATTATTCTGATGTTGTTAAATCTATACTGGAATATAACTCAATCATTGTAAAGCCATACATGTTTAAAAAAGTACTACTTTTGTATGATTATAACAATATTATTTATGTATAACATGATTGTACTAATAAGTTGTGTTATAGTAATTTTGTTTAAGACGTATTGATATAATTCTAAGAGAGCTCGTATGGGACTAATCCATCATTCTTAATTATCCACCAACTTCAAATAAACATTAATCATTGTTTTTTTTTATATATTGGTTCTTTACTAAAATTTTCTATAATATAATGAAATAGACAAAGCAGTCCAGATAAATTCCAGTTGTTTTGTTTTCTTTTTGTCTCCTACTGATTAGTTGCACGATAATCTCAATAACATAAAAGTAAATAATTTTATGACGCTTTAACATTATTTTAGCATGTAAAATAGTTTAAAAATCGATAAACAAACCATATTGTACTGCGTCGTTCATCATTGTCAGAGCTATGATAGATCGTTGTTGACTTGTGTTGACTACAGTCCGGACTGAATCAAGTCTATGTCCATGACAACTGAATTATAGCTAGAATGTTCTGTTCCTAAATGTTATGCACATCTGTTATAAGTTTCTCTCAAACCGGACAGGTTTATCTAATGATTTTCTTTTCCAGTTTGTTCCAGGGTTGATGACGACGGCCATCAACACGGCCGGGGGGCCGAACGTGTTCCTGCACAATCCGGCCGGAAAACTACCGCCACTCATGCATATTGCGGTGAGGTTTGTCATAAAAGCGAAGACAGTCATGCACCCGCTGAACCCAGTTGATTGTTTGAATTTGCCTTTTTATATATAGAGGTCGTACATCATAGCCGGCAGGTCTGCGAGGTCGGAACAGCACAAGAGGAAAATTATGCAAAAAAGTTGGATGACGATGAACGTCTCAAAAAAGGAATTGGACGATTGGGTGTACAAAGGCAACATCCACCCAGAAGGACTGTACAAACTAAGAAATTATGTGATAAGGTAAATTTTTTATAATGTAATATATTTGTATTTACCTGAATTGACTGAAACACTTATAAATTCAAAAGGATTACTTAATTAAGACAAGGAAGTGTTTATGAGCTGGATTGGTTACACATTGTTTTTAGTTTTGTTTTTTCAAGTCATATCACGTTATGGAGGTGTGCGCTGCGATAAGTTAGATTAGGTTAGGAATGGTTAAGTTAGATAGGATAAGGGTTAAGTAAAGTTAGTAAAGCTGGATAACTGGTTAGGGTTAAAATTGGTTAGACATGGTTAGGTTTTATTAAAATTAAGTTAACGTTCAGAGATTGGTTAGGGTTAGAATTAGGTTAGGAATGGTTGGGTAAGGTAGTGTTAAGGTTAAATATAGGAAGGTTGAGGACAAGGTGTTTATGTTATTGTAGGTTAAGGAGGGTTAGAATTAGCTTAAGTTAAGTCATGGTAGGGTTCAAGTTTGTAAGGAGTTATGTTAGGTTAAAATTAAAACTTAGGTTAATTGAGGTTTTTAGTTGAGATAAAAAAGACACGAGCGGGATTCGAACCCACGGCCTTCAGCTAGATACGCCGCTACTCTACCACTTGATCTATCGTGACTTCGAACCACTTGGACACTAACTTCCCATCTCAACCCCACCTTTTGAGTTTTCCCTCCTTTTTGCCATTTTTCAAATGTCGTGTAATCGGATTGGATTCGCGGCGACAAATCTCAACTAAAAACCTTAATTAATTGTGATATATTGGTCAAGCAGACCACGAAAACTAGTGAACTAAACCTTAGGGTTGGGACGGGTTGAGTTTAATTTTAGGTTCGAGTTTGGAACCGGTTAGAGAGTTCGTTAAGGTTGGCATTATTATTACGCTTGGTTTGTTAGGTTACGTACTTTTTGGGTTAGGGTACATATTTATAAATTTACCCCCATATAGCAGAGAAAATATACAAGTGGAAAGCGCAAATTTCACAACACATTTACCTTTCATATAGTTTCCCTTCAAAAGTTAAGTTTTAAAAGTTCGATTTGTATACAACAAAACTACAACGAAATAAATGAATTACATAATTACACGCAAACTGTCAAAATTCTTTGTACTAGTCCAGAGGGAAAAAATGGAAACTGGGGATTTCATTATTCACTACGTAAGAGTAAATAGAATTAATAACTATAAGAAAATGAACGAATTTTTACAAATGGAGAATTAGCCTTTTTTCAATGCCAACGCAGGTTTTCGTTTAATTTCAATTACCAATGTATACACTGACAGCTGTTTCTTTATTACCAATACTTTCATTCGCACAAGTTCATTGTTATCGCTTATTCATACGTTTGTTTTTATTCTGTCTGTCATTCAATAAGGTTCGATAATTTGCACACTTGGTTTTCTTCAATCGTTATCATATTTTTTAATCCAAAATTGTAATTTCCTAATATTCTATAAGAAGATTTAATATAGTAACCTTTTATTAAAATGTAATCATTTAGATAGACGAAGGGATTATATGGTATTTACGTACGGTATGTAAATTATACTTTTGCCAATCTTTAAGGTAGATTAGATGCCAAGGTAATCTTTAAAATAATGTTAAATAAAGTAACAACCTATTAGGAAAGGAGCAATACAATTGTTATCTGTTATTAGTTATATAAAATATTTTAAATTTTAACGATTATTTACCCAGTAAAATGTTAAGTCTTGAATGATTTAGCTGACTTATCCTCGGCATTTTACGCCTAATGTACTTCAAGGTTTTCTATGTAACGCTTCTAATTCATATTTTTTATTAAAAACAACGATGTTGTTACACTCCTTGTGAATAAAACAGGTTTTATTAAAACTTTAATGCAGTATAAAGGTTTAACTCGTCGACTCATAATCCGTTATTTTCCACAACTTTCCCCTTTTTTTCGACATTACAGAACCAATTTCATACCTCGTACATTAAAAAAAAGGTAGTTTCCATAAAAAGCACATTGCTAAATGGCCCAAAGTCAAGACTATAAGTTTGGTTGGGTAAGAGTCTACTTCTTTTTTTTTAATTTTTGTGTGCCAAAAGTCTATTAGGCGCATTGTACGAATTAATTCCTTATTGATCTTTTATTTAATTTGATTTTTATATGAAGGGTTGTCCAGCACACCACGAAAAAATTGTGTTACATCCTAAAGAGATTAAAATTCAACCAATCGAACTATTCTATCTCAAATCGGGTTGAAAGTGTTTTTTTCAAAAAATCCCGACCTCAAGTAATAAATTGGCATTTTTTCAATATTTAGTGCCTATTCCAATTTTTAACCTCATTTTGAATTAAACCTGTATTAAATCTTCAATGAGAAATATATATTTTTAATATTATCAAACGCCGATATATGTTTATTAATTCTACCCAATATGAAGAATTTTTAGAAAAGGAGGAAAAATTTGATATATTTTCAAAAATTTCTTAAGACCAAATTAATTACAGAAGTTACCGTTGGACAAATGAGAAAACTGTGCAGAGCGACAGGCACCACGGAAGGCGTTTTGAACATTTTTTGTCAGTCGTTCCTTCTTTTAGTATTTTATTTCATAATAAGGACATTTGGCTTAATAATCTTACATAATCCATTCCTTTTTTAAGTACAGACGTTTTTGAAGTACACCATAAGAATGTTTATTAATTGAAGAAGTTTTTATGATGTTTGGCACCCCTAAAAATTCGGGTTTTGGGAAACAGTTATTTTTGGAAATTTATAAAAAATTTTCCTTTTTTAAAATTCTTCATATTGGGTACATCGGCGTTTGATAAGATTAAAAATAGATATTTCTTAAAGGACATTTAATGCAAAATTCAAAAATGAGGTTAAAAATTGGAACAGATGCTCCAAATCTTGAAAAAATGCCAATTTATGGCTTAAGGTCGGAGTTTTTCGAAAAGAACAGGTAAAACTTCATAAATTCCGATCCGATTTGACATAGAATAGTTCGGTTGGTTGCATTTTACGCTGTTTAGGATCTAATCATTTATATTGCTGCTATTGCCATTATTTATAATGCTGCTTCTTTATTTATTGACATTAACCTTCCGTTGTAGAATGAGACGGGAAACGCGAAGGAAAAAACTAGAATGGATACAAGACGCAAGGGATATCCTTTCACGAGTAAAGGTGCCTGAACTGACCGAGAAGGAGGTCAGTTATCTCGCTTTTTACACTGAAGAAGACAAAGTGGAAAACGTTGAACAATCGAAGCTGGCCATCGCGCTTCGACACGTTGTGGTAATTACTTACAAATATGTTAAAGCGCAGAATAGAATTTTAAAATATTAATTTTCTAAAGGGAAAGATAAATTCGTCGGCTCAAGAAGTATCGGCTGGACTGGCTACAGGTATTAGCGCTGCAATACTATTCTGCTATGTACTTTTCCGTGTTCTGCCAGTGAATTAACACCTTAAGGATTAACCGAATTATAATTTTTTTAAACAATATTGTATATTTTTTAAAGAAAAAATCGGTCATTTAGACTGTGCGAATTTCTAATGTGAGAGAGAGAGAGAGAGAGAGAGAGAGAGAGAGAGAGAGAGAGAGAGNAGAGAGAGAGAGAGAGAGAGAGAGAGAGAGAGAGAGAGAGAGAGAGAGAGAGAGAGAGAGAGAGAGAGAGAGAGAGAGGACAGAGATAGAGAAAGAGAGAGAGAGAGTTTGTTTCCTTTCTTAATAATAACTGCATTTTGAGGCATTACTTAAAAAACCAAAAACACGGTGTTAAAAGAATCTTCTTACCTTATGTTTAAAGGTCAAATTTGCATATATTAGCCACTCTATGTAAAAAATTAAAAGAAAAAACTCCACAGTATTAAAGATAACAAATGCCATAGGAAGATCAGAGAAAAGATACATACAAAGAAAAGTCAGACAAACTAACAGAAAAACAAAACAAATACTAGAAACAGTATTTGGTGCATTCCATTCCCACAACTGAACACATCACACTAAACAATCCTCGACATTTCAAGTAAGTTTGTAGTTGCACCGTGCAATAGGAAAAGACGTTAAAAATGACTGCAGAATGTCCATACATTAAGCACAAAAAATACTAAAAGCTCTCTGGTCAAAAAAAAAATTAGACAACAAACAACATCATTCCAATTGGCCTTCCTGATTTTTGGATAACATAAATTCTGGTCATGGGAACTTCTTAACTGCACAAATACAGAAGATCTAACAGGCCAGACTGCCCATCTTGCTGGCATGTGATAACGTTGGTCGCAGATTGTTCTGGTACACAACTCACAAAAGTGTTAGGCTGGAGTTTTTTAAATTAATTTTCGTTATTGCTATCTGTAAAAAAAATATATATATTGACCAAATAGTATAGATAATTATAAACAAATCGAACTCACTTATCAAACCAGGAGGAAGTCGGGAGAGAAACCAGTCCGTGCTGTAACTCCCTTTTATTTAATTGGGAGAGTTAAGATAGGACTTCACAAGGCCATTGCCGTTCTAATCGGCATAGAGGATTATAAGGGTTAAGTTGAGGAAAGAGTATGGGCTAATGGATCAGAGTTGAGGGATAGTTTAGAGTGGAAATTGAGGAAGCTTGTTCGTATCAGATCCTTCTCGAATGGGATTTTAAGATTTTCAAGGATCGTTTGATTGGTGACATAAAAGGAAACGTTCAGGGCGAAGATTTAGATTGAAAGGATTGAATTCTTGGAGAAGAATGTTGGAGGATTTGGCCCACAGTTCGATTCCTTAAGTTCAAATAGGTCTGATATCTATTTTGTGCATGCTTAGTGTTGGTTTTCGTCCCAGGAAGTATAGAAGTAGGCTTTTTAATCTTGTATATCATTCGGTGTAAGGCTCCTATCTAAGTAAAGCCAAAGATAGCAGGCTTTACTGGATGGAGGACCTTGATGTTTATGTGGATTGGTGGGCATGTCTGACTTTCAGCTTAAACGTTCCTTGTTGGCTTTTTGGTCGGTCAACCTGATCCTCTACCGAGTGCATCAGTCCGTAACGAGGTTCATCTTGTTGGATTGGTTCTGTGGCTAAATAGGATAAAAGTGTGTAAATCGGATCGCGGTTTCGTCCATATAGGTTCTGAGTGGTTTGTTTGGTCGTTTAGGTATGTTAGCAGGGCAGGTATGTAGAGGATTGAACCTAGGATACTTCCTTGCGGAACTCAGCTTTGTTTGACAATATTGGGTGAAAAATCGGTTCTGGTTCTCAGTTTAAACCAACTGCTCATAATAGGTGTGATGGGAGATACGTTTTAACTTGTAAAGGAGGCTAGGGTGCCACACTGAACAACGTCCAGAAATACGGCTGAGCAATATTGTTTGTTTTCTAGAGCCAAAGACAACGTGCCGACTATTCGGAAGCATTATTGAACATTGCAATGGAATGAAAGGAATTGCTGGAACTCCGTAGAATGTTTTCGAACAATGGCGCGCATATTTGCGTGAATTGGTGATGACGATGATAATGATATGCGTGTATTTTTGTCAATATTTCGGTCTCATGCGTTAATTATTTATAGGCATATTTTTATTTATAGTATAGTTTTAGAAGGTTGCACAGTTTTGGCAAAGCGGGTTGTTTCCCCCCATTCTAAATTTGTAATTGAATGTAACTACTTTTGCTTTGAATAGTCATTTCAACTATCCCTCAAGAAATTGAGAGATTAAAGACGTCACACACCCAACTTCAAAACAAAATTAAAATTTGCACGGTTACAGATGGCAAAATACCACCATTAGTAGGTACACGAGAGAGAGAGAGAGAGAATTTAAGGTCGAAAATTTAAACCATGAAGTTGATTGAAATAATGAAGTAGTACGAATTGACAAATTGGAATCGCAAAAATAAGCAAACGATTTGAAGTAGTTTTAATTACAAAAAGTACCTTTATACGTAGGCGACTGTTCCGACTTACAAGAAATCGTTACTCAAGCTTGAATGAAGTATCTCAAAGCTCCCGTGCGGAATGAAGCATTCCACGCCTTCCGTTGAAACGTCCCACACGTTCTCAATTGGATTTCACCCCGACCGAAGAATTTTGCGATAAATGATTGGTTTCTAGCCGGGGTGAGCCTAATCTCTTGTTTCACAGGGAAGAATGTTGTAAGATCTCGTCGTAGACGATGGTTTCTTTACGATCGAGAACGAGCTTTTTTCTTCACAAACCCCCTGATAAGTTTCCCTGTCAAATTATGTTTTCAAAAAAAACCAACATCAAAATATTAGAAAACGATGAGAAAGTAGGCTGATTTATTGTGAGAAAGATTTAAAAGTTTTCCTTTCTTTTGCCATGCCTAGCGGCTATAATTTTCTTTTATAAATTAGCCCCCGTAAAACTTTCCTTATTTAATTTTAATTTTCCAGATTTTGTGTAGAAAATTGCATCCTTCCATCTTGTTCCTACTTCTGCAAAATAACGTCTTAGGTTAAATTTCCAAAACAGCATATTTTCTATGGAATGGAATAAACACTGCAAAAAAAGTTTAATTGAAACATTTTGCACCCTACGCTCTCTCTTTCGGTTAAACAAAAGATTTTCCTTCACCTCGAACTGTTGAAAGCTTCAAATTTATTGACAGGTAGAATATTGAACGTTACCTAACAACAATATTGGACTGCAGCAAAATTTTAGAAAAATATTTATTTATTTAAACCTGCGCCATTTAAATGAAATTAAACTTAAATAAATTTCATAACATCTTTTTGTAAATATAACAACTACAAACATGTAGGTCAAAAAGAAAAAGAGTCTCTTATTTATTAGTGTTAGTCACTATCATCGCCACTTAGGAGGTCGCATTACTCGGTATGTATTATACGGATATAAGAGCGTTTAGTCCAACCTCAAAGTTTAAGTCCGTAAGTCCATATTGATTTTAATGTCGTACTGTAGTAGTCTGGGAAGTAGGTATCGCAGTTAGGTAAGTTTCCTGTTTATAAATAGTCTAAGGTAACGCACTGTCTTAAAGAAAAGAAATTTATGTACCAACAGGTATAGAGAAAGTAGTGTGATTCGTCGATATGTTTTTAAATATTCTTTTCAATTAATTAAGGTTTTGGTTGAGATAAAAAGTCACTGTCACAAGCGGGATTCGAACCCACGACCTTTGGCTAAATACGCCGCTGTTCTACCACTTGAGTTATCGTGACTTCGATCCACTCGGACACTAACTTCCCATCTCAACCTCACCTTTTGAAATTTTCCTTCCTTTTTGCCATTTTTCAAATGTTGCGTAATCTATTTGCTTCTCGGCGACAAATGAAATGGCCACGGAGAGCTTTAGTGAAGTATACTTCGTTTTGCTTATTACATTTTATTAGGTTTCGTGGTCGGCTTGACCAAATAAATTCTTTTCAATTAATTAAGGTTTTGGTTGAGATAATAAAGTCCAAAACTAAAACCTTAACTAATTGAAAAGAAATTATTTGGGCAAGCGGACCACGAAACCTAATAATATGTTTTTTAATAAATTTATTTACTTGCACCTGAGGAAATTATTTCGCTTAGGTCAACTTGACTCACATATTCTGACTTGACTTACATATAAAACGAACATAATAAGGAATATATATATAAACAAGTGGGAAAAAAAACAAGACACTTAGGAGGTCGCGATTTGAAAGGCCAATAATGCTTCATTCTTCCGGAGGGATTATTTGGAAGGGTGCGGGATAAAAAGTATCTTGTGTGAAATTTCTTGTAACTTTTATTTGCTACTTCAAAGATTGGATATTAAGGTCATTGTGAATGGTAAGATTTGGTACATAGAAAAGAGGATTGACAATGATTCGGTGGATTTGGAATTGTAAGGGACGTTAAAGGATGGAACGTTTGGTTGAACTTCAAAGTTCGATGCCGTTTGTCCGAACGGGTCTCAAATCAAATATAAATGAGTCTTTTGCTTTGTAGAATAACTTTCCATCGTTTGTCCAGCAACGTCTGGAGCGTGTGTTTAGCTCTTGCCTTTTAAGTCGTAAGTTGCCATGTAAGTCGTTTATTCAATGAATAGCTCAAGGTAGCGGACTACATTAACTGGTGGAAGACGGCTATTATTGTAGTAGATTGGAGCAGTGGACATTCTCCAAATGGTGAAAGTGATTTATTCTCATTTTTGTATGTTTATTGTCATCTTCCGTCGCTTGAACCACTGGTTTCCAGTTGAAATGGAAGGATCTTTATGAGAACAAATGATGTCAATATCTTCCACAAAGGAAGTAAGGATAGTTTCAGACAGGTAGGAATGGATGTCCGCAATGTAGTGTAATATATAGAACCTGAAATTATTTATTGGCGTAGCCAAAAATTTTAGATTTAAGAATAGAGAACAAAACAATTAAAATATTAGAAAAAACATCTAGGGCTGCACCCAAGCAATACTTTTTATTCTCAAGAGCAGATGAGAAGGTTGGAGGAACTCTGAAACCTTGTTGGATCGTAGATGTGGACGGAAGCCGAATTGGTG